CTGGATTCAATCCTCAAGGAGAAAAAGAAAAATCTATACGGTTCACTTTAAAGGTGCTGTTCAGGAAATGTCCCTGAAAATTCATCTCCATCTATAAGATTGCCTGGTCTGTGCTGAGAGAATTCCAGACAAGCAAGACCTAGAGAAGAATCACCTCAAAGAGGGTCTGGCAGAGGAGGGACCTCGAGAATCTCCAGGCAAGATGGAGTCAGGAGGTGCTGGCTGGGCAGGGACCTCAGGGCCTGTGTAGAGCTGCTCCCTCCTCCCTCTGCACCTGCTCCTGGGTGACCTGAGCTCCTGTGTGCTGAGCGCCCTCTGCTGGCCTTGGGAGCCCTGCAGGAGGTTTGTGTCTGGGCTCACACTGGGGTCCCCTCACTTTGTCTCTAGCACAGTAGTAGGTGGCTGTGTCCTCGACTCTCAGACTGCTCATTTGCAGGGAAAGTGTGTTCTTGGAGTTGTCTCTGGAGATGGTGAATCGGCCCTTCACAGAGTCTGGGTAGTAGGTGCTACCACCACTTGGATTAATTTCTCCAACCCACTCCAGCCCCTTCCCTGGAGCCTGGCGGAACCAGTACATCCAGTAATCACTGAAGGTGAATCCAGAGGCTGCACAGGAGAGTCGCAGGAAACCCCCAGGCTGCACCAGGCCTCCCCCAGACTCCACCAGCTGCACCTCACAGTGGACACCTGCAAACACAGAGGCAGCCTGATCAGGACACTGTCACTCGTCCACTCTTCCTCTCACTCCTGTCCACTCACACACTCAGGGTCTCTGGTTCTCCATTCATTACCTTTGAAAACAGCCACCAGGAAAACCCAGCTGAGCACACTCTCCATGGTGAGCAGCTGTGTTCAGTCCTGATCACTGAGTGGGCTGAGCTGGGAGTCCAGGGCTGGGCTCCTGTGCAGAGCTGCAGGGTCAGGTGGGCTGGTTTTAATGAGAAGAGGGAGGCCCTATTTGCATGTCCTCCTACTATATAGCAGCTCTGGGTGGAGGTTTCCTATAGGAGCATTTAGGGTAGAGGTGATAATCAGCTGCATTTAGGAGCACACAGCAGCATTTGGGAAAGTAAAACTGCTTTTTTTGTGTATTTTTCTATTCTGCCTACATCATCCATTAATGTGTTTTCCACATCTACATAATCATGACAGAGGGATCAGGGTCAATTCCATGATGCAGTTCTAAAATGACACAGAAGCTTGAGAGGTGACCCACTTTGCCCAACAGCTCATATCTGTCAAGAGCAAGTTGAGTATTTAGGCTTCTTCTCTTACCCTGGACAGGTGTGGTCCCCTGAACCTCCTATAACTCACAGGTGGACACACTTAATGACTTTTTCAGAACCTGTTTTGTGGATGACCTCATACTTGCTTGGAGCTGGGCTCAGTCAGGCTGGAGCAGACTGTGGGCTGGACAATCACAAGGGCACAGGTGAGACCCTGGCGTGTGACCCCCTGACTGATGTCAGGCCATGTGCAGGACAGGGAGGGGCAGAGAGGGGCAGTGCAGGCAGAGCTGGTGCTTTGCACTTTGGCCAGGAGAGCAGCACACTTGTGGTGCTGCCCAGGAGCTGTGGCCAGGAGGGTGAGGCCAGCAGCTCCACTGGGAGCAGCCCAGGGCTTTGCACCCAGAGGATGGAGGGTGTTTCAGGATCCCAGGGACCAACAAGGCCCAGCTTCCCCAGCTCAGAGGCAGAGATGAGGATCTGAAGGACCCTCCAGGGCAGGGCCTGTGGGAGAGAGCTCTGGGCTCTTGACCCAGGACTTCCCAGGGCACGGTTTCCCCTGTTCAGCCAGCAAGGGGCTCAGAGGTTCCCATTCCTGGTTCAAGGGAGGCCAAGACCTGCTCTCTACTGAGGGTGACCTTGTCCTCAGCCACACCATGCTGGCTTTGCAGGTGGCAGACTGTGAGAGCTACAGGGTCAGGGAGGCTTACATGAATACTTGAAAGGAAGGGCTGGGAGTTCAGATGGGGGTCAGGGGTCAGGGCCCTGCTAAAAGCCCTGGCAAGTGATGCATGGGGTTGTGAGATGAGGCCAGGGCTGCTGAGGAGACCTTACGAATAGAGGAGCCATCAGTGAGCAGCAGTTGTTTAGAAGGATGCAGGCTGCATGCCAAGCTCACTGAGAGTAAGACCAGGGGACTCTGTCCACCTGGGCTGGGGTTGGGCCTGCCCAGAGTCCTCACCCTTCTCTTCCTAGAGTGACCCTGAGGACAGAATTGGAGCAGTGGGTTTAATGTAAGTCCTGCTGGGCTTCAGTCCCCCTCAACATATCTGTGTTTTTTTCCTTTTGAAATGGGAATATCACTCCTTCCAGAGAGCTTAGGAGTGTGTGACCCCTCTTTGATTTTAAGGCACAGAGTTGAGTTTTCCCTGAATCTTCTGAATCTTTGCACTGGACTTCTGAGCTCTGCTGAAGTATTTGTGCCTTTAGGGTCTCAAGGATGAGGACTGAATGTGTTCTGCATTATGAGATGGACGTGAAAGCTCTGTGTCCAGGGATAGAATGATTAGTGTGCATCATTGTCCTCCCAAAATTCCATGTGCTAAGGATGTTCTGAGCTCCTTGGGCAGTGGGGGATCCCTTAGGACATGTGGACTAGGGGAATTTATGTCAATCACCAGGACATGCCACGCAAGGGGATTGGCAGACCCCCTCTCTTCCTCCCTCCCTTTTGATTCCTAGCAACATGGAGAGTGATTTCCCCACAGGGGGCTCTCTGCATTGCCCCTGGCACATCCAGGAAAGGTGTCAATGCAAAGGACTCAGCTGAGCATGGACTGGAGCTTTAATGTCTTCATCCATAATAAAGATCCTGTTTATGTGCTGATGGTCTCAGGTACCTGCTTCAGGGATGCAAAGCTGAGGACAGAGTTTTAGGTACTAGGTTAGGAGAAGAGGCTGGGCCTGAAGGACAAAATCCAGGTGGTGGCCCA